TAGTGATTACTAGTCCAAATTTTAAGTTATGTGTTCTCTGAAAGTGTGAGGACAGCAAAATTTTCATAATTACTGAAAGGGTTGGGGACAATTATAACTAGTACTTCATTTCTTTTCAAGCCTTAGGCCTCTGGTTAAAAATACCAACTTCCAAAATAAAGATCAGGCAGAAACTTTTGGTATTTTTCACTTAAAATGTATTCATTTTTTAATATATGCTATCATTTTAAAATTATTTTTTACAGTTTCAATTTCTAACATGGCAAACAGAAATAGATATAACTGGCCTAAACAAAAGCTCATTTAGGTTCTCAATAGTTTTTGAGTGTGAAGTGGTTCTGAGACCAAAAAGTTTGATAGCTAATCTTCTGTATCAAATAATATTCAAATAGGAACATTTTTTCAAAGTTGAAAAAAACTCATTCATAAACACCACAAAAACATTAAAATACATTAAGATACCTAAAATTAAAGACAAATGAAAATAATTTTAAAGCTCTAATGAGGGACATAAAAATATAGTAAAAAGTCAAGCAACATTCTTTTTAGATAGGACGATTCAATAGTGTAGGATGCCATAATTCTCTGTATACCAATCTGTGCAAAACAATGTAATTGCAATCAAAATGCCAGTAGGATTTTTATTTGAAAGGACATGAGTAATTCTAATTTTTTTTTGTAAGAGTACAGAAATTCTGGCAAAAATGAGTATTAAGGGTATATGTGTTAGGGGTAACACTTATTAGATAGGAAAACATGTATGTTACATATAAAATATTTTAAATTAATGTTAAAACAATAGTAATTAATAGTAATGGTAGTGAATAGACAAAAACAAATGGAACTGAAAAGTGTTTATAAATATCAAATATAAAAATTTATTATCTAATGAAGATTACATTTTAGATCAGTAAGGGAAAAGAATTATTTTATAAATGTACTAGAGGCCCAGTGCACAAAAATTTGTGCACTCGGGGGGGAGGGAGGGAGGGTCCCTCAGCCTGGCCTGTGCCCTCTTGCAGTCTGGGACCCCTTGGGAGATAACGACCTGCTGGCTTAGGCCTGCTCCCAGGGGGCAGAGGGCAGGCGCAATCCCTAGGTGCAGCCCCTGGTCAGGCTCAGAGCAGGGCCGATTGGGGAGTTGGGGAGCTCCCCCCTGTCATGCACAAAGAAGGGTGGATCGGAAGGTTGCAATGCCACCCCCTGTCACGCTCAGGGTAGGGCCGATTGGGGGATTGGTGAGGAGCTCCCCCCTATCAGGCACAGAGGAGGGCTGATCAGGAGGTTGGGGCGCCTTCCCCTGTCACGAACAGAGCAGGGCAGATAGGGAGGTTGTGGCCCCGCCCCGTCACACAGAGAGCCGCAGGGCGATTAAGGGGTTTGGGCGCTGTCCTGTCATGCTGATTCTGATGCCAGGAGGCCTCACGGCTTCGCTGATGCGGTGCTGGGATGCATATTATCCTTTTACTATATAGGATAGAGGCCTGGTGCATGGGTGGGGGCCGGCTGGTTTGCCCTGAAGGGTGTCCTAGACCAGGGTGGGGGTCCCCACTGGGGTGCCTGGCCAGTCTGGGTGAGGGGCTGAGGGCTGTTTTCAGGCTGGCAGGTGACTGAAGCTCCCAACCGCTCCTTTTTTCTTTTTTTATTCTGGGCCAGCTTTAGCTCTGAGGCTTGGCTCCAGCTCTTAGGCCTCTGCTGCTAAAAGCAGGTATCTGGTTTGTTTGGGTTTTATAATCGAAACACTGTTTCAAATCCAGCTCTGAGATCCCGCTGGCTGAAAGCAGGTTTCTGGGGGTTTGTTTAGCTTCTATATTTGTAACAATGTTTCAAACTGTAAGCTCAGAGGCCGGCATCGGTAGGCGGGGAACGTTGTAGTCCTCTGTCACTGAAGCAAGCAAACCTCATGCTCGCTTCAAGCTACCTGGCTGCTGGCCGCCATCTTGGCTGGCAGTTAATTTGCATATCACCCTGATTAGCCAATGGGAAGGGTATTGGATGTATAGCTAATTACCATGTTTCTCTTTTATTAGATAGGATTAGAGAACTAGATAATTTTGACAGAAATTTGTGAATCCTTACCGCACACCTTAATATAATTTTCAACTGCATTAAAGACTGACATAAAAAAACAATCATAAACATATTAGGAGAAAACACAGGTATTTTTATCATACTGGACAGGGAAAACTCTTCTGAACATGATATCAAAGGCAGAAATGATAAAGCAGGTCAACAGATCTGAATAAAAATAAAAAGTCATGAAATAATATCAAAATAAAGTGACAAAAATGTGCAATGTGTGTAATAAAAGATTAATGATTTCTAACATGAATTACTGCAAATTTATAGATATGAATATTTGCAAGAAAAAGTGGAAAGGGCATAAGAAAGTTAACTATACAATAAATACAAACAACCATTAACATTGAAGTATTTCACTCTCACAAAAAATAAAAATAATACAATAAGCTTTTGGCTGTTAATGACTGATAACATTCTGTCGTTCAACTTGTGAATAAACACTCTTACACACTAGTGGTAGCAATGTAAACTGGAGTAGCTTTGGTGAAGAACAGTTTGACAATTCAGTTCAACATTTTTAATTTGTATACTCAGCAGCTCAGAAATTATACATCTAGAAATTAAGCAGAAAGACAAAAGGTATAGAAATAATATAATTATAGATATAAGTAGCAGCCTACATTATATAAATTATAGTACATTTTCCTTAGAATCAAATACTACAGGGGAGTAAGACAGGTAGATCCATACATATTTTCTTAAAATATGTCCACATTTATTATATTTTCTGTGCTTATGAAAACTGCTTATATATAGTTGCCCGTGTGTGTATATGTGCACAAGTATAGAAAGATGTCCCGAGGCATCAATACAAAAATGTTAAGTGTGTAGTTCTGGGTAGATGCATTTGGGCAGATTATTACTTTTGTCTTATTACATAAGCTTTGTTTTATATATGTACTACCTGGTAGATTATGTGGCATGCGATAGGCATGCAAAAAAAAAATGTGTGGATGGGTATGAATTCATTTTATAAGAGAACCCTCCACGGCTGATTTTAAAAATAAAGCATTAAATAGCCATCATTAAAAGATCTCATTTGATAGAACATAGCAACAAGATTTCAATTAGAACTAGTGCATTTAGTTTTGAGGTCCCGGAGATAGTTTACAAGCAAATTCCTGAACAGTGTTTTAGGGATTAACTTTTGGATAAAAAGGAATCTCTGAAAGGAAGTAGTGTGTTAGTTCTTTACCTATTGTCTCAGTTCCAATTCAGCTCCACGCTTGTATCCTCAGCTCTGTAATGCTGGTGCTGGGATTGCAAACTGCATTTTCCTGACCCATTTGCTGCATCCACTTAGATTCTACCAGTAAGTTCTACCAGAGGACAGTTGGAAGGCAGAAAAACAAGTTTTACTTCCTAGTCTTTGCTTGCCAATTCTACCAGTGTTGACCTAATAGTGTCAGTTGATTACAGTCTTCAACCACTTTAAGATCTTCTAGTACTATCTTCATTGCATCCCTCAGAAGTAGCAAGAGTGGAGAGGTGGTGAACCTGCTGAGACTCAGCAACTGCATGGGGACTTGGAGCTCTAAGCTCCAAGTGCTATCTGATGTGCCATCTGATGTGGTGAAGTGGTTAATGGCACGATCAAGATAAAAGGACAAATGTTAAAGGCCAACTTGCTCAGGTTAGCACTTGAAATGTGAAGAAGCAAAAAACACCCAACCGGAAAAGCAAAATGAAAAAAGAATCCGAAAATACAAAGATAGTGTAAGGAGCCTCTGGGACAGCTTCAAGCGTACCACCATCAGAATTATAGGGGTGCCAGAAGATGAGAGAGAGCAAGATATTGAAAACCTATCTGAAGAAATAATGACAGAAAACTTCCCCTACCTGGTGAA